GATATTTTGCATCACTGCTTCCAATATCAGAAAAAGAGGGAATTACTGATGCCGACCCATCAATATAGCTATTTTAGGAATCGGGTTGACGTCTAGGGATTGAAAATTAATATGCGACGCCTATTTGAAATCCAAGATGGTGATTTCCGGTTCAAGAAAAAGTGGGAAATACTGTCAAATACTCGTCAATATAAGTATTTTTGGAATCAGAATGACGTCTAGAGGCCAGAAATCGATGTCCGACGCCATTTTGAAATCCAAGATTCCATAAAAGTGGAAAATACTGTCAAGTACCCGTCAATATGAGTATTTTTTAGCATCGGAGTGACGTCTAGAGGCCGAACATCGATGATCGACGCCATTTTAAAATACAAGATAGCGACTTCCGATTTCATAAAAAGTGGTAAATACTGATGCTGACCCATCAACATGGGTATTTTTGGAATCGGAGTGACGTCTAGAGATCGAAGATTTATATGCGACAACGTTTTGAAATCCAAGATGGCGGCTTCTGGTCTAAGAAAAAACGGAAAATACTGTCAAATACCCATCAATATAGGTATTTTTGGAATCGGGACGATGTCTAGAGATTGAAAACCGAGATATCCGGCCCCAGTTTGGAATCCAGGTTGCAGAACAAGGGAGAAATTCCCTAAGATATGGGTGATTTCCGAACGGGAACAACGCGTATATTATGAAAATCTACATCCGACGCTATTTTAGTTTTCAATATGGGTATTTTCGGAACGGGGACGACGCGTAGATGCTACAAATCGACATTCTAATCCAGCAACATGTTGATAGTAAAGTAGAAGTTATGTTCAAGTTATGTTAAAGTTGAGTTGAAATAATGTTAAATTAATGTTAAGTTAAAGTTAAGTTAAAGTTTATTTAAAGTTAAGTTCAATTTAAGCTAAAGTTAAGATGAAGTTAGGTTAAAGTTAAGTTAAAGTTAAGTTAAAGTTAAGTTAAAGTTAAGTTAAAGTTAAGTTAAAGTTAAGTTAAAGTTAAGTTAAAGTTAAGTTAAAGTTAAGTTAAAGTTAAGTTAAAGTTAAGTTAAAGTTAAGTTAAAGTTAAGTTAAAGTTAAGTTAAAGTTAAGTTAAAGTTAAGTTAAAGTTAAGTTAAAGTTAAGTTAAAGTTAAGTTAAAGTTAAGTTAAAGTTAAGTTAAAGTTAAGTTAAAGTTAAGTTAAAGTTAAGTTAAAGTTAAGTTAAAGTTAAGTTAAAGTTAAGTTAAAGTTAAGTTAAAGTTAAGTTAAAGTTAAGTTAAAGTTAAGTTAAAGTTAAGTTAAAGTTAAGTTAAAGTTAAGTTAAAGTTAAGTTAAATTTAAGTTAAAGTTAAGTTAAAGTTAAGTTAAAGTTAAGTTAAAGTTAAGTTAAAGTTAAGTTAAAGTTAAGTTAAAGTTAAGTTAAAGTTAAGTTAAAGTTAAGTTAAAGTTAAGTTAAAGTTAAGTTAAAGTTAAGTTAAAGTTAAGTTAAAGTTAAGTTAAAGTTAAGTTAAAGTTAAGTTAAAGTTAAGTTAAAGTTAAGTTAAAGTTAAGTTAAAGTTAAGTTAAAGTTAAGTTAAAGTTAAGTTAAAGTTAAGTTAAAGTTAAGTTAAAGTTAAGTTAAAGTTAAGTTAAAGTTAAGTTAAAGTTAAGTTAAAGTTAAGTTAAAGTTAAGTTAAAGTTAAGTTAAAGTTAAGTTAAAGTTAATTTAAAGTTAAGTTAAAGTTAAGTTAAAGTTAAGTTAAAGTTAAGTTAAAGTTAAGTTAAAGTTAAGTTAAAGTTAAGTTAAAGTTAAGTTAAAGTTAAGTTAAAGTTAAGTTAAAATTAAGTTAAAGTTAAGTTAAAGTTAAGTTCAAGTTAAGTTCAAGTTAAGTTAAAGTTAAGTTAAAGTTAAGTTAAAATTAAGTTAAAGTTAAGTTAAAGTTAAGTTAAAGTTAAGTTAAAGTTAAGTTAAAGTTAAGTTAAAGTTAAGTTAAAGTTAAGTTAAAGTTAAGTTAAAGTTAAGTTAAAGTTAAGTTAAAGTTAAGTTAAAGTTAAGTTAAAGTTAAGTTAAAGTTAAGTTAAAGTTAAGTTAAAGTTAAGTTAAAGTTAAGTTAAAGTTAAGTTAAAGTTTAGTTAAAGTTAAGTTAAAGGTCAGTTAAAGTTAAGTTAAAGTTAAGTTAAAGTTAAGTTAAAGTTAAGTTAGAGATAAATTAATTGATATTAGGTTAAGTTGACCTAACAATAAGTTAATAAGTAAAAGTTTATTAAAATTTTTGCTATAGTTTTATTAAATATAAAGTTAAGTTATGCTGAAATTCATGTGAAAGATTAGTTGAACTTAATTATATGTGAATGTTAAAATGTTCAAATCAAGTTTACTTAATATTAAGTCAATGTTTGGTGAAGATTTAGTTGAAGTTAACTACATCTTAAAGTTAAGTAAAATTTAAGTCATGTGAATTGTTAGTTTTGATAATATAGTTAATTAGTCAAAGTTAAGTAAAAATTAAGTTAATGTTTTAATACAGATTAAATCACGTTTATTTAAATTTATTGTTAAAGTTTTGTTAAAGTTAATGATACGTTAATGTTAAGTAAAACTTATCATGAACATAAACTTAAATTGTGTTAAAGTTAAGATATACTAAAAATTACGTTAAGTAAATATGATAAAATTAAGTTAAAGTCAAGTTAAATATATGTTGAAGTTAAGTTAATGTATACTTCAGGGCAACTCCTCGGATGTTCATGCATCTTCTTCGATTTTTTGAAAATTTTTGGTTGTTCTTGGAACTCTTTGAAACTTGACACTTCTTGGAAGTTCTTGTTAAGTTTTAAGTTACAATTAAGTCAAAATTTATTAAATTTTTAGTTAGCGTTAAATTTAAGTTATGTTCAGTTAAAGTTACTTCTAATTTAATTAGTTAAAGATAAAATCAAGTTAAGTTAAAATTGAGTCAACATTTAGTAAAATTAAAGTGAAGGTTTAGTTAAAGTTAGGTTTACATTTAGTTAAACTTAACTTTATGATATTTTGAAGTTCATTCAAAGAAATGTTATAAGTATGTTAAAGCTTAGAAAAAGTTAAGCTAATGTTAAGTTTAGTTGATTCGTTGCAGTTATGTTAAAGTTCATTACGAGTAAAGTAAATTTTTAAGTTTAAGTTTAGCAAAATTAAGTAAAAGTTTAGTTAAAGATAAATTCAAGTTAAGTTAATAATAAGTCTAAGTAAAGTTGAAGTTTAATTTTTTTATTTATTGTTAATATAAAGTTATGATAAAGATAAGTTAAATATAAGTTTAAGTTAAGATAAAGCTATGTACTTTAGCTATTTGTTTGTATTACTTCTGCGTGAAGCTAACGATTTTCATAGTTGAAGATGCTAATTTCAAATAACAGACTTAAGTGGTATTTTTTATACGATAGATGAGGAAATGAAAATATAGAGTTGATAGTTCCGTAAAAGTATGGCAGTGTGAAAATTGTATTTAGAGAGTAGAAAGCGAGCAAGGACAACTTTTTAGGAAGGTACAAATCGGTTTGATCATCTCTTTTCACCAAACTCACCCGTTGAAGAGGGATGGTGAGGGGTATCGCTCCCCACCCATAAAGTAATGTAAAACTTAAGATATGGTTTACTTTAAGTTATGTTAAATTTATATCCAGGGAACTTCAGTTCTTGGAACTTCTTGGAAGTTGTTGAAACTTTTGAAAATAATTGAATGTTCTTGGAAGTTTTTGGAACTTCTTGGAAGTTTTTCTGAGCGTTTCAAGAAATTTCTCTACATTTCACTTGGAAGTTCTTGATGTGTTAAAATTGAGTCAAAGTTAAGTTTATATGTTTGGCTAAAGACCATGTTCATCAATTGCGTTTGCGAGGGTTCTGTACATTTCTGGCGAGTGGTTAGACCAAGCTTCCCAGTTGCATCCGCTCGTTGGACGAAGTACACATTGGCAACTTGAACATTATCCACGATGCACAAGAATAGGTCTCGACTCATCCGAAACCGTCTTCGAAATTCGTCGTTCTTGTAAGTCGGATTATCCTGCGCCAATCTATCAGTGTTGGGTCGCATCCTGGCACGTATGTTTCGTGATTCCATGTCGTTTCTGCTACGATAGCCTGCGTGTGGAATAGCATCCTGCTTACCAAGTCCAGATCGTCGTCACTGGAATCCGAAAAAATACAGCGAATAGTTGTGCATTTTGTTTTGTTTAAATGACGGTTTCGTTGTCAAAATGTTCACTACCGATACGGAATGGGACAACTTGTTTGGTACCCGCGATAGCAACGACCGACTAGCCGCTCATATTCCAACGACCGTTGCGCTTGTGATAGAGCTGCAAACTGTTACACAGTACAGCAAAGCCATGCACGGCCAGCCAGATCGACTCAAAATTGAGTCGAATCGAGTCATAATTGCAAAAAGTGTAAATCGTAGCAAGCGTACAAGTTTTACTCACTGATTCGAGCTATACAGCGGGAAAAGAGCTCGACTCATGAGTTTACTATACTCACTGTTGTTTACATTGCGGTTACACACGCGGTGAGCCAGAGTTACTCACTGTAACACAGAAAAGCTACTGAGTTGTGCCATTTCTGTCTATTATTAACAAGTGAGTAGAAGTGACTCACACGCTGAGTAAATGTCGGTGCCCTGAGACCAACACATACAAGCGGCCTTAAAGACATAAAAATCAGATGAAAAAAAAAAACGAATAATTCAATTTAATCAAACTCACTTTTCGTTTCGATTTCAGGGCAATTTAATTTTACATGACATTTTCGTCTACGTTTCATGATTTACGTCAAAGATGGATTACGTCTCGTGTAAAAAAAAAATGTTTCTAAGTGTGTACTCAATTTGTATTTATCGTCAAAATTCCACTGAAAGTTTAAAATGCCCGAACGAAATAAAAAATCCCCGCCTCGCCAATGAATTGTCGATAGCCGAACCGATTTTGACCTCTTGATTAGCATCCGTTATGTGTTCAAACCCGTTTCTACCGTTCAGTTCGCTGCCAGCAATCGCGTCGCAATGAACATCGCTCAACGATTAGCGTTTCTCTGGTGTGGCTTCTGTCTTCTCCACTACGCTCCGGTGCAAGGTCAGTCAAACGTCATTTGTCATTTTGATTGTTTTTATTTTGATATAAATTTAATTTCTACAATCATACACCAGCAAAGCTACGAGTGGCTGAACAAAGTAAGTGCAATTTTCTCAGAGGCTTATTGGGATTGCTTAAAAATAATTCAATTTTCATTTTAGAATGTCTGGAATACATCGATCAAAACACTCAGCAATCGTATGGGGGAACTCTTAGCCTGAATCCAGATGTGATACAATTTAAGGCTGCCAATTGCTCGACGTCCGTCGATTTGATCATCAATGGCGTTGAGGCACTGGTTGGTGAATTTCCCCATCAAGCCGTGCTCGGTAAACCGAAGAATGGCTCGGCCGAATTGGAGTACTACTGCGGAGGATCGCTGATCAGTGAGCGGTTTGTGCTAACCGCGGCCCATTGCCCCAGACCAACAATTGTTCGCCTGGGGGTACACAATCTAACAGATGTGAATGACAACGAGGTAGACTGTATGGTGTCTGATTACATTCGCCATCCGAGCTTTACTATTAGTAAAGCTTACTTCGACTTGGCACTGGTGCAATTGTCAATCGAAGTGGACTTCTTCCCTGAAATACGTCCCGCTTGCCTATGGACGAGTGATCCGTTCAACTACAGCACGGTGGTGGCATCCGGTTTTGGAGCGACGGAGCATGGTAAGTGTCATGGTTTTTGTATTGAATTATAGGTCGCATTGCAATGAAAACTGACATCTTCTACAGGTCCCAACTCTACGGTTTTGATGAAGGTGCGACTGAATGTGATGGACAAAGCAAAATGCGAGGATAAATTCTTCGGCTATAGGAAACTTGATGACGGCATCATGGATGAGCAAATGTGCGTCGGAAGTCAGGAGGGAGGAAGGGATACCTGCAATGGTGACTCCGGTGGACCGATTCAGGTTGCCACGGATCTGGAAACTTGTGCCTACTACGTGGTAGGAATTACGTCCTCTGGCGGTGCATGTGGCATAGGGACGAGTGAGTCTGTGTACACAAAGGTGGCGAGCTATGTTGATTGGATCGAGCAGCATGTGTGGCCCGATGAGTGGATTCAAAGCAGGGAAATTGAATCGAAGGAAGCTGAACCAACTAACTACCGAATCTACTTTCCTGGAAATTATTAGTTTGAGATAAGGTTTTGATACAGTGATAAGTGATCGGTTGCTAGCAAGTGCCTTCGTGAAGATGTTTGACTGTAAATAAAGCATTTCTGTTTTGGAATGGATGTAAGTGTTGCAAATTTTCGTAAGGACTTGACTTAAGATACCTTAGAATAACTTAAATTGTACAGTATGGACAGCTGCCAGGATCTTTAAGTCAAACGATCAGGTTCTCAATTCAGATTCCAGGTCATTAGACCATTTGCTCTAATGACTTGATTTACCTTGTTGAATCTAACGCTACGTGGCAGAATCAATGCTCAAAAACCGATGGAAAAGGCTATTTCGAAGACAAACGTCATCTAACGTACAGTATGCAGTGATCAGTGTAATAAAACGTACCGAACTTGGACCAGGCAAGCTGTAGGAATTGAGCGAGGAAAACATATTGTCTAAAAACTGAAACTGCGTCTGTCCACAGTAGTCCATGAAAAATACAGTTTTTTAGCTCTAAATTTTTTGTTTCAATCTTATCGAGAAAGTCGCCTTCACGGAACTGATAGGAGTTATTAAAATACAACGTTAAAAAAAAAACTTTTCAAATGGCCACAGTTTTTCCAATTGGAATCTCAAGTTAAATTAAAATTGAGCATTTAGGGTAGAGATCTACTTCGGCCTAATCGCCCATTTTGGGCCCATCGAGCAGAAAACTTCAAATAAATCCATGATTTCAGAGTTAACAAGTCAATTATGCATTTGGTACGATACTTTAGTTAGTAAGCTACCGAACGAAGTCAATGAGAACGCGTGAAATGAAGGTTTGCACTCATTATTCGCAAAAACAAAAGAAGCGCTCCGATAGGCCGAAGTGAATTCTTTGGCGTTTCAATGCGTTAGAACGAGTTTAGAATCCGTAGGCCGAGTTTGGCGTCAAAAATCAGTGTTAGACTTTTGACAATATCTCAACGATTAGTTTCTCTTTTTTAAATCTAAGGTAAGGTAAATAAATTTGGAAGCCATCAGTAATAATAACATTCCTTTTGGTGCTAAACTGCGCTAGATTAAGAAAGATTAAGTACAGGTTGTGCTTAATAGGCCGAAAATAGGGTATATATATTTATATTTTGATTTTGAAAAACAATAGAATAGTTTTAATATTTTTATTTTTTATAAAATTTTGAAATACATCTCAATATACCTCTGAGATATTTTAAGGAATTTAAGTCTATTTGAAGAAAATTTTAATAATTGATGAAATATTTGGTTCATTTGTGCTTTTTTTTAGAATTTTGACAGTTCATGAAGATTTCATTATATTCCTAAAATAGTCGGAATAACTAATATTTCCTAAGGGCTTCTACATGTTCCCTGAAGTTAATGGGACTAGTGTGAAGTTCTCTGTACATCCTCGAAGTACTTGTATATATAATAAAACTACCTTTAAATCTCGAATATTCCTTGAAGTTCTCTAAACTTTATTGGGGATTTAGCAACGTCACGGAACTTCCCTTAAAACGTTCTAACATTATTCTGCTGTTCATGTAACTTCCCAAACGCTTCCAACATTTTCCTAAAGCACTTTAAAGTTTTCGGAAGTTTTAGAAAATTCCGGAACACCTTCAATGTTCAAGTAATTTTCTTAAAATTAATTTAACTACCCTTCGGACCGCTGATCTGTCCTGATGTTCTGAGAGCTTCCTTGACGACTTCATGCGGTTCTGAAATTAAAAGAAGTGTCCTGAAAGCCTTAAAACTTCCCTGAAATTCTCTGAACTTCTTTAAAGGATGCGAAATATATACTGATGATTTCTTAATTTCTCTTGAGTTCTCTTCTTCTTCTTCTTCTTCTTATTATTCTTCTCCTTCTTCTTCTTCTTCTTCTTCTTCTTCTTCTTCTTCTTCTTCTTCTTCTTCTTCTTCTTTGTATTTCAAGCTTATTGATATCACATATCAAGAGCCACGTGTGAAAAGGGCATACAAGCTTTTTGTAAACAAACCTTTGTAGGCCCTCTTCTCGCCAACCGACGGTCGCCTACGCAAACTAACAACATCATCGGAAAGGGGAAACCTTCCCCTATTCGGCGATGTTGATGGTTTGCGTTGGTGTCATATGGGTGGCGAGAAAAGGGCATAAGAATGTTTGTTTACAAAAAGCTTGTATGCCCTTTTCACATGTTGTTCTTGATATTAGCTTATTGCGTGCTCTCAACTTAGTGTGTTAGATGCACTTCCACAGTTATTAATTGAGAGCTTTCGATGCCCGAACCAATTTTGCATAGAGTATAATTGTGTGGCAAGTACTATCATACCCTATGCCCAGGGAAGTCGACAAATTTTCCAACCCGAAAAATTCCTAGACCGGACCGGGGATCGAACCCAGCCGCCTCCAGCATGGTGTCTTGCTTTGTAGCTGCGTCTTTGGGTAAGTCGCAGTCAAGTCCTTTAAAAATCACTTCAAAATGACAATCGGAACCACCGTTCTCCTCAAGGACGATCTCGAAACAATCCTGGCTGTTTAAACTCCGGACGCCGTTGACTTCCGAACCAGAAGACCTGGAATTGCTTACTCCCGGTCAGTTTCTGGTTCATCTCCCGCTGGTTTCCATACCAGAGCCTTCGTATGCCGAACTGGCAACGAATCGCCTGGATCGTTACCAGAACTCGCAAAAACTTGTCTGGAGCACCGACAACCTTTCCGGACTCCACCCTCGCACGAAATGCACTCATTTGCAGGACAACATCAGCATGTTGAAGGATGAGCATCTTCCGCCGCTTAAATGGCGTTATGGTCGTGTCATTCAAATCTTCCGTGGTGACGATGGCAACGTTCGGGTGGTTTCTGTTCGAACCCACGTCGGAGACTACCGGCGTGCAATTTCGAATGTTTGCGTGTTGCCTGTACAGCATCCAGCACCCACTTGGTGAAGATAATACACTCTCCGAGATGTAGCATGCTCAGCGCTGCGGCGGTATTGTGTCGTTCCGTATACTAACTAACGTTACCCAACTCGGAGATGAACCAGCGTCTGGCAGGAAATCTCCTTAATAAAGACAACCAACCAACCGTTACCCAACTAATGCTTCTGTGAGTTCTTGACCAACTACGACTGTGACATCGATGGTAACCCGAGACTGGCGTCACTGGCACGGTGTATACGATGGCATCTGACCCTGTAAATTGACCGCTGATCTCGTCGAGCATTCGACGACCGGGTGAACACTCACTTCGAACGCTTCAGGTATCTAGGAGGATTTCCGTCAGGCTGCACATATCTACTTCCGAAGGTGAGTTGTTCCGGTTTTACACCGTCAATCTATTGCATACTACATCATTTCAGTTCCGAGGTAAATCAACTAAATGCTACGTCTGAGGTCCGTCGTCCTATCATCAACCAACTGACGAGAACCACCATTTTTAATTGTATTAGATCATGAGCATCTCATATAAGGGATCAGATCAGTCTCAGTCGAAAATAAATAGCCAAATGAAAAGCATCTAATCCTATATCAGCCGTTATATCGAAGCGAGCAATAAGGTAAATGTTGTTTTAAACAGAGACCGAACCAAATTAGTTATTTTTCGATGACGAAGCTGAGGTAGGCTTCTCTGTATGGCCAAGGTCCTGGAGTGAATGGTCAACAGGAGGCTAAAACATTTCCTTGAAGCCGAAAACCTGCTGGACCATCGAAGACACGCCTTCCGTCAAGGGTACGGAACGTCAACTTACTGCGTAACATTAGGGGAGGTCCTCAAGAGTGCCAACGATAGCGGTCTCCACACCGAGATCGTTTCGCTGGATATATGGAAGGCCTTCAACAGGACGTGAACGCCTCGTCTTAGAGCAGCTTGTCAACTGGGGGCTGTTTGGACCCATGGTCCACTTCATCAAAAATTTCCTGACCGATCGTTCTTTCAGAGTCGCAGTTGGCAACACGAGGTCCCAGCTTTTCAGGGTCGAGGGCAAAACTATATCAACAAACCGAGTGACCAACGCGCATCCTCGCTTGAATGATTCTTTCCATCAACATTTTTTTCAACAAAAAAGAAGAAGAAGAAGACAACCAAAACAAAGCATCTGTCATTTGAGCTGGCTCCTCTCTCTTGGATGCTGAAGATCTTCTACCACCGACAAACCGACATGACACTTAATTCTAACTTATGGCCGAAAATCGTAAACGGCCGATTTAAATGTGCAGTGATCTGAACTGTCAAAACCATAGGAGTTTTTGATCTAGATAAAAATAATTAGTCCAAAATAGATCAGACACGAACCAATTCATAGTTTTTGCATGGCTTAGCAAATATTTCCCGCGAACACGAAGCCAGATGTCAGTAGTGTTCTTTGGTCAGATAGGTCTGTTAGATATTCTCTCTTTTTCTCCATGCCTTCAGTTAAATAGGTAATATTCTGAAGGTATCAAACAATTCAAATTGCGTCTCTCAGATATTTTCTTATGATACCACGTGACTCATAAATTATACCAAACACCTTCAGGTGATCAGATCTGATCAGATCAGCTCTCCAAACAATTCTTTGGATATTTTTTCAATACTTCTGGATGATCAACTATTATTCTGAAGATCTTTAACTGTCCAGGTGTCTCAGGAATTACTCCAAAGGCGATCAGGTCCCCATAGGTTTTCAAAACTTCTCAGGATGTTTTCTGACTACTTTAGGATGATTAAATATCAGAGATTCTATAGGTGTCTCAGAAATTATTGTAAAGCCTTCAGGTGCTGACAGGACTCCAATAACTTCTCATGATATTTTTTCAATACTTCAGGATAATCAAGTTTTACTCTGAAGATATTCAACTGCCCAACAATTCAAATCTCTCTTATACCCCGTTCACATTACAGCGTATATCACGTGATATTCGCTGTAATGTGAACGGGGTATTATATTCTCTCGTGATACCAGGTGTGTTAAAACTACTGCAAAAATCTTCAAGTACTCACTGGCTGCACAATCTTATCAGGATATTTTTTTTAATACTTCAGGATGATCAAGTATTATTCCGAAGATCTTCAACTTTCCAACAATTGCAATACCGTCTCTTAAAGATTCTCTCGTGATATCAGGAGTCTCAGAAATTATTGCTAAGACCTTCAGGTGCTCATAGGTCTCCAAACACATCTCTGGATATTTTTTTTTTCTCCAAAACATCCTGGTTCAGTGACCACCCTGTTGTACGGTATTGAATACCCCTCGCATAGAGAAGCTAGCCACTCACTACCTACTACGCACTCCTCAGCAGACGTGACGGGAGACGACGAGAGCACGCAGCGATCGTCTCTCTCGCTCTTCCTCATCGAACCGTCATCGCCTGGGGACGCTTAGGTAAAATCTGCAACCGGATTCCTCAGTGAAGTGGTGCCAGATATATAGATATTTCTGTATTTATACAGATTTTTGAAGTCTCGTACAGACCTAATACCGGCTACAGACATTATACAAATATTTGAAACTTAATACAGATTTAGTACAGATTTTTACCAACTGCGTCCTGAAACCTAACATAGAATACACAAATTTTTTTTCGAGTGTGTGCATCTTGTTATTATTATGGTATGTTTCTAAAGGGAGCAAGCACACTGTACCAAACCACTGTCCTCTGTTCGAATGAAACCTGAAACCATTCAAATCGAAATCGCCTTTTCGGATGATAGCTGCATGACGATGATGACGGTTGTTTTGAAATCAGATGATTTTCCTCTCGAATACAGGATGAACATTGTTATGAAAAGGGCAGGGTCTTCGGTTGGGATGCAGAATGATAGTCATCTTAAATTGAAATGCATTTGGTATTGGTTCAGCCCCTTATCGCAAATCATTCAAAACGATGATGTAAATAATTCTGTCGAACGTCATTTGCTGCTCTGAGTAAACAAACGAGGTGGAAGCATAGCCATCGGTATCAGAGGTGTTACGAACATTGGTAAAGCGTGGAAACCATAAATATTCTATTTCGTGGTGGAGGAAGTTTCCTTTACCAACCAATAAGAGATTTTTGTATCCCTGATGAATGGTTGTTCATGGCTTTTCAATAAGGAAATGTAAGCAATCAAATTAATAATCTAATCGAAAACATTTTCATGTCATCCTATCCTTAAATTGTTGTCCTCTGAGCCCAGAATGTTTTACAGCCAATTTTCAAATAAATATCATCCTTTATTTGGAGGACAGTCATATGGATGCTCATTGCTCATCAGTTGATGACGAATTCAAGCACAAGGAAATCATCCAAAATTCGACAGACTATAGACGAGTGCATGGGTGAACTTTTGTTCATCTATTGAAAAAAAAATTTACACAACAGGGGGGCCCTATTTACTAAAAATGAACACATGAATAATGCTCGCGTAACATTTGAAAAGGGCCTATCAACTTTTGTAAATAATTTGCAAACCAAGAGCACTATCGGGAAGGGGATAATTTCCCCAACCCGATGGTGTTGTTAGTTTGCGTGGGCGTATTCGGTTCGCGCGAAAAAGGCTTAACAAGTTTTGTGTAGGAAAGTTGATAGGCCGGTTTCAAATGTCACGTGAGTATTATTCATGTGTTCATTTTTAGTAAACAGGGCCCCGCTGTTGTGTCACTTTTTGTCGAGTGAGTGAACTCAAATCCATCCGTGCACTCGTCTATTGTTAAAGGGCTCGAGCAATACAATAATGAGTCGAAGTATTGCGGATGTTTTAGTTCAGTGCACCTGCCAGATTTTGTTTTAATTACTACGGACCTGACCTCTTTGACGTTTAATCGTCTTCTCTTTTCTAGCACACGACGACGGCGAAGAAAGCTTTGTTCATCAATATAATCTATTTCCCTCTTGCTCGTGCATCTTAGAATTAGATTGTGCGCACCGAAAATTCAAAAAAAAATTTTAAATCTAGTTATTTTTTACCACCAAAATGCTTTTTAAGTTTTGACTTCGTATACTACTAAAAATAAAAATTGAAAAAAAAACACAAAAACGCACTTTTTTAAGTTTAAAAATGTTTATTTATTCAGTTTAGTGTGCGGCGAGCAATTGTATAGCCAAAATATATGTGGGAAATACGTAATCAGCAATTAGGCGAGACTCATACAGACTTTTGAAAAAATCATCTGGTATCCCTGCTTCAGTGAATGGCCAAACTTCACACCTGTCATAACATGCAGAATCGTACGGGACCTTTTCCCGTGGTTCTAACTCGTTACCTGACACTGAATTACGTTTTTGTTATCATCTTGTTCCAGGAAACATTCTTGAATCAGAATCAACTTCTCCGTTCGTACTAAATTCATCGAAGCAAACAAAATTTGCACACGCACACATATGCAGGGATGAATACCAAACACCTTATAAAACTGTGCGCTGATCGTGTTGCAGTTTCATTTTAGACAGTTTCAAATTTTAGAACTGCCGAGTAGCTTGAAACAATTTTGAAACTCAGTATTGCGGCTTTTATAAGAGTACAAGTTTATTGATATGTTTCCGCCCAGTTAATATTAATTTAAGGATAAGAATACGAATGATAAGTTTTCGGAGCTTATTACTCTTGGAGTAACCATGATCAAGCACCATGACAGGCCTGGTTTACTCCGAAGTTGCATTATGAACGGGAAGACACTATCGACTATGCTATCGCTTCTATATCCCGTAAATCAAACAATATCATTTTACCGTCACATTCTTCCAAAAGAAAAGCTAATCCCTCTCACTTCCGCCGCACCGCACAACTTAGTGACTTAGGAAATAGCAACCAATAAACGGCAATACTCACCATTATCCTTCCATTCCTCGACGCCGTAATCCGGCTTTTTGTTTGCTTTCCGACCTACAATCGTCGTCATCGTCATCATCGTTGTGGGGCCCCAGCGAGGTCGGTTGAAGGTACAGAAGAGGAGACAGAGACAAGAGCAGAACAATGATAAATGAATTGATACCTAATAATGTGTCTTTTCTTTCAAAAGAATCCATGATAATGGATGGGGCTGGGGAAGGTTCATTAGAGTTTCATTTAGACCCATCGACCGCAGGATGATGCTGAAGAATTTGAACGGAAAAAGGGTAAGTAGCTCAGTGGTGTCAGCATTTATCGGTTTTCGAACGTTCCATGCTCCCGGTAAAAGCTAATATTGATTGTCATCGACACGTCACTTGCGTCAACCTCAAGTCTGTGGCAATTAGGTGGGCTTATTTCCCAACTAGGGATAAGACTGCGAAAGCACATTCGGATAGGGAAACTTTCCGAGACAGCCGCTTTGTTTGGATTTCGGCGAGGGAGAATAATGAAGATGAAATATTTATACTCGTCTCGTCTTAAATCACAATTTCCACCCAACCAACAAAGTCGGTACAAAGGAAAACTTCGCAAACAGACTGCCATTCCGGGGAAATGATATTTCCATTCAATTCATCATTTCGCGGGAAAAGTCAAAGCGTCGTCGTATGTAAATATAATGAAGGGAAACCATTAAGGATTTCGGCAGCGGCAGCCAAATAAACGAATTAATGAGAATCAGCGACACCTCTTCTCTGCACTGGCTGGGACGATCGGTAGGACGGGAAATCAATAATTTGAAAAACTGGAATCGTGGGATCGTTTTGGCTTTATTTAATTTCCAACCCTGTGAAAAAGAAGCCCCGCAGGCGCAGGTTTCACCTTCATCGCGACTGGCATGAGGGAAAGAAATTGGGAACTCGAAAGGGCCACCGACACACGGCCTTCTCGGATGCTGAGTGGAGCAAAAAAAAAAAATGAAAGAGTGGAATTGGTAATGATGGTTGCTGGAGGCACCGCTTGCTGGGATGGACTGAACGCGAAGGGGAAAAAATCAAGAACCCACAACCAGGTGGGCAAGGAAAGGAATGATGATCGGTGTGAAGTGAGAATTTATTTAAAAATTTACATTTAAATTACCTTTTGATCGATTGTTATAAAGTGATTCGGTTGTCAATATTGTCGTAGGCGCTGGTATTTCTGCATTTAAATTAAATAGAAGAGGGAAAGAGAGAGAGAAACAAAATGGAAAAATGAGAGTGTGGTTACAATGGGTATCGGATATCGATTGGTTTAATGAAATTGGTTGAACTTGATCGATGTTTTTGTATTTTTGTTGTTGTGACGGTTTGTTTTTCAATTCGGGTAATTTAAAGGATGATGGTAGGTCGAGATTGTATGGATGAGTCGTTTCAAGCTGTAATCAAGCTTCCCAATAGCACAGTCTTCTCGCTACAGCACGTTCGGAGCTTAATTCAAAGTGTATTCAAGGACAAAAAGAAGTCGCTGCGTCTAAATAGAAACGGGTAAGTCTGACAGCTACCATATTTGAGAATGAATTGTCTGTTTTTTAATATATATTCATGAAAAAATCACGACTAACATTTGAAAATAGCCCAAAATGTAGAAAATTATTATAATTATTTTTTTTTTAATTGCATTAGCTTGAGAACGGCTAGACTTAGGAAAAAAGTTTTAATATGCAATGTTTTTGAAAATTATACGTAGAATCCAAATAAATTACTATTTTACTAAAAAATATGCAATTTCACCAACTTGTAAAAACCAACAAAAATTTCAAAAATTATTAATTTCTTTTTAAGAAAGTTACCAGCATACACTCTTCACCAAATATTAGGACATTTTTTCAGTTTTCTTGAAAAAAAAATATAAAGATCGAAGGGGGGGTGTTTTGAGATAATCATCGTTTTACATTTTTTAAATACTAATTTACTAAGTTTTTCTTTAAGTGTATTTTTTTTCGCAAAGATAATTTAACTACCTAAAACTTCTTTTCATATGCCATTTTGATCAGATCAATAGTTTTCAAGTTATGATTTTTTGAAAAAAAAAATAATACATTTTTTTATACGCCCTTTTCAAAAGTTACTCTGGAGGAAAAAATCATATTTAAATGAAAAATGCAACCATTAGTAGCAGCGAACACGTGAGAAATGTTTCATTCAAATCGGAAACACTCATGACCAACCGGTTTGCGTTTTGGGCTGGAAATGCTCTTTCTAGAACCATTTTCACTGGGTCGTCGTGCGGCATTCTTACGACGTGCCTAGCCCACAATAGTCGACAATTTTTTGCAATGTGGACGATGGATGGTTCTCCCAGCAGCTGGTGAAATTCGTGGTTCCTCCACGTTCCGTCATTCATCTGCACTCCACCGTAGATAGTACGCAACACCTTCCGTTCGAAAACACCAAGGGCGCGTTGGTCCTCCACGAGCATAGTCCAGGTCTCGTGGCCGTAGAGGACCACCGGTCTAATCAGCGTCTTGTAGACGCTGATCTCAGCGTCTTGTAGACGTCAACTTCGTGCGGCGGCGAAGTCCAAAGCAGGCACGATTCCCTGCCATAATGCGTCTTTGAATTTCTCTGCTGGTATCATTTTCAGCGGTCACCAGTGAGCCCAAATACACGAACTCATCGACCACCTCGATTTCGTCACCGTCAATCTGAACTCGGGGTGGGAGGCTAACATTGTCTTCCCTAGAACCTCTTCCTTTCATGTATTTTGTCTTTGATGCGTTGATGGCAAGTCCTATCCGTCTAGCTTCAGCCTTCAGTCTGATGTACGTTTCCGCCATCATCTCAAAGCTCCGTACCATAATGTCAATGTCATCGGCGAAGCCAAGGAGCTGGATGGACTTCCTGAATATCGTGCCACTCGTGTCTATCCCAGCTCTTCTGATCACACCTTCTAACGTGATGTTGAACAGCAGACACGAAAGTCCATCACCTTGCCGTAACCCCCTTCGAGATTCAAAGGGACTCGAGAGTGTCCCCGATACTCGAACAGCGCACATCACTCGATCCATCGTCGCCTTGATCAATCGCGTCAGTTTATCTGGAAATCGTCAGTTTATCTGCCATAGCTGATCTCGATCGATTGTGTCGTATGCGGATTTGAAATCGATGAACAAATGATGTGTGGGCACGTTGTATTCGCGGCATTTCTGCAGAACCTGCCGAATCGCGAAAATTTGGTTCGTGGTAGCGCGGGCACCCATGAATCCCGCCGTATTGCCCCACGAACTCTCTTGCAAATGGTGACAGACGGTGGCATAGAAATTGGGAGAGTACCTTGTAGGTGGAGCTCAGCAGTGTGATCGCGCGGTAGTTGCAGCAATCCAACTTGTCGCCCTTTTTGTAGATTGGGCATACGACACCTTCCATCCACTCCTCCGGTAATATCTCCTACTCCCAAATCTTGGCAATTACCCAGTGCAGCGTTCTAGCCAGTGCTTCACCACCGTATTTTAATAGCTCACTTGGTAGTTGATCTACACCAGTTGTTTTGTTGTTCTTCAGTCGACCGATCTCTTCAACAACTTCTTGAAGATCAGGGGCCGGTAGCCTGTCGTCTTCTGCGCGTGCTCCAAGGTCTGTTGCCGTGCCACCTTCGTTTTCTGCTGCTTCACCGTTGAGGTGCTCGTCATAGTACTGCTTCCACCTCTCAATCACCTCACACTTGTTCGTGAGAAGGTTACCGTCCAAGTCCTTGCACATATCGGCTTGCGGCACGTAGCCTTTGCGCGAACTATTTAGCTGCTCATAGATTTTCCGTGTGTCGTTTACGCGGTACAGATTTTTCATCGTCTCGCGATCTCGGTCTTCCTGCTGACGCTTCTTCCTTCGGAAAACCGAGTTTTGTCTGTTCCGCGCTTGTCTGTATCACTCTACATTCAATCTCGTGCGGTGTGGCAGCATTCTCGCCCGTGCTGCATTCTTCTCCTCTACTAACAGTTTTCATTCGCCGTCAAACCAGTCATTTCTTCGGTCCGGGATTGCAGTACCTAGTGCCGCTGCAGCAGTACCACCTATTGCTGAACGGATGTCCCTCCAGCCATCTTCAAGAGAAGCTGCACCAAGCTGCGCCAAGCTGCTCTTCCGTGGGTAGTGCAACTTCCAGCTACTGCGCGTAGTCCTGGGCAACTCCGGCGTCCCGTAGTTGCTCAATGTTGGGTCGCGGCGTTCGACGTCGACGTGTGTTATTCACCGTTGAGAGTTTTGAGCGCATGCATACTGCAACTAGGTAGTGGTCCGAATCTATGTTCGCACTGCGGTACGTGCGGACGTTGATAATGTCGGAGAAGAATTTCCCGTCGATTAGAACGTGATCGATTTGGTTTTCTGTGTGTTGGTCAGGTGATCTCCAGGTGGCTTTGTGGATATCCTTGCGGGGGAAAAAGGTACTTCGAACTACCATGCCTTGAGAGGCTTCAAAGTTCACGCATCGTTGGCCGTTGTCGTTCGATACGGCATGCAGGCTGTTTGGCCCGATTGCCGGTCTATACATTGCCTCCCGTCCTACCTGAACGTTCATGTCGCCGATGACGATTTTGACGTCCCGTTGCGAACAGCCGTCGTACACCTGCTCCAGCTGCGCATAGAACGCTTCTTTCTCGTCGTCGGGTCTCCCTTCGTGTGGGCAGTGCACGTTGATGATACTGTAGTTGAAGAAACGGCCCTTAATCCTCAACTTGCACATCCTCGCGTTGGTCAACCAACCAACCAATCACGCGTTGGCGCATCTTACCAAGCACTACAAAGCCGGTTCCCAGCTCGTTGGTGGTGCCACAGCTCTGGTAGAAAGTAGCCACTCGATGCCCGCTTTTCCATACCTTTTGTCTCGTCCAGCAAAGTTCCTGCAGTGCTACGACTTCGTAGTTGCGTGGTTGTAGTTCGTCATAGATTAACCTATCGCAACCCGGGAAGCCGAGCGATTTGCAGTTCCATGTTCCGAGTCTCCAATCGTAGTCCTTATTTCGTCGCGTAGGTCTGTGCCGATTGTTCCGATCCGTAATTCTTTCTTTAGTATTTGCAACTTCGTTTTTTTTTCCAGAGCGGCTTGTTGGGCCTGTCTCGCTGGGGGACCATCGTGCACAGCTCTGTTTAGAGTCCCACGCTGGCACTAGGACGGTGATCAGCCACTTCTAACATGGAGAACAGACGCCGTTTTGAGCCGCACCTCCATGATGAACAGACGCTCAGGTTTGGTGAAGCATTTCCTCTATCACCGTACTATGGTTACCGCGCCAGTGCACAAATTGAATTTAAGGGGGTTTCCATCAAAAACGCTTCATATCTTCACAAGTATTCGTCATACAAATTTGATGTTTTCAGCAAAGTTTCATATTTTTACAAGTACTACAACTTTGCTGAAGAAACTACTCTTCTATCTCTTTTGCGAAAAAAGTTTTTTTTTTATTTTTTTAATAGTATGCCATGACAAATATTGGTAATTGTCATAATATGCGCAATGTTTTTGTGAACAATTCTTCTGAAGACAGTTTTTGGATTAAGTCAACGGTTTGACCACAAAACAATTAAGTTCACCAAATTGGCATTTCCGACCACTGTGCAGTGTTCGCGTCGCACCTCTTCACTTTGCTATTGCCGGACTGGCAACATTGCCCAGGCCATGCCACCCAGCTGTGTCCATGTTTCAGCTGGTAGTCTTTTGTTATCATATGACTCGAGGAGGATGCATCATTCCCGGACAAAAGCTCTATAAAGCCACTGGTTGAGGTGATGAACCTAGCAAATTGAAATTCATTTCTGCCGATAAATTTGCAGGAAAGCTTATAATCTGGCAAGGTATTTGTAGCTTCGTACAAAAATACCAGATTCTCGTGAAAAACAAGACTATGGATTCCAAAATGTACAAGCAGGAGTGCCTAAAAAACGTATTATTCTGTTATTTAAGGCTCACAATGGACCTGTAAAGTATTGGCCTGATTTGGCAAGCTGCCACTACAGCGGAGAAGTTTTACAGTGGTATCGAGGTAACGGGGTAGATTTCTTCGAAAAAGACATCAATCCACCCAACGCCCTAAATTCCACCCAATTGAGAAATATTGGGTAGTTGTCAAACCGAAGTTGAAGGAGAGTGGAAAGGTGACTCGGGATACGACAGAGATGAAGCCATCAGAGTGTCCAAAATATGATTAGTGGTATTCCAAGAAAAGTTCGAGCATTCATCAAAACCAAATTCAAAACTATTTATAAAATAAATGTTTGTCCAGATATTCAATGACTAATAGTTTCCCTTAGAAAAAAAAAAAACCATACCCAAAAGATAACCCAAATGATTGAACTATTTGGTTGGGCGTATACCCTGAACACGTCGTTAAGCAAAATAACCATACACATTGTATTAGGGTTATCTGGTCGTTTTTTCAATGGATGTAACAATATTGAACACATGTCACTGTAATTTTGAAGATTATATTAATTCGCATTCACCATTTCCTGAGAGCTGAAGGAATTCGCAACAGCAAAAAAAAATCGGTTTAATGGATTCACAATTTAGCTCGAATTCCAACGCAAAAAAAAAACGCGGAATAAAGCAAACAGCAGGCATACTCCTTCCTAAAATCCTTTCCGAGAAGATCAATTCGATCGCAAACCCTTGTCCATAATTTTTCCGTAATCCCCACAGGGCATTACCAATATAAAAACATCTCATATTAAAACATCATCACCCCCTAAAAGTATAATGTATGTTCTGGTTTACCGCTCTCAAGCTCATTGTAAAAAGAGATTACCATTACAATAATAAAAGCGTTCGGCTCGGGTGTTTCCTCCCCCCTACCGACCAACCAACAATACAGCATCAGCAGGATAATGCTTTTCAACGACCACCGTTACGTTACACAATATATATTTTTTCATGTGATGAGCCAAGCGAGATTGATGGGGAATTGCTGTTGTTGATCACTCAGCCGAAAACTCATCTCACTCCCGTCATCCATCAGGACAGCGAAAATCGATTCGCACCCTAACCCCTCCGGTCTTCTACCAAGTTAAAAAAAGCCCACTTTTCGACTCCTCCGTGATCCGTAAAAAAATTAAAACATAGTCTATGATGTTTTTCGGTAGCACAGGACTTAGTTACCATCCAGCTTGATCATCCCATCCGTTTCGCCTAATGAGTTTTTCGCCACACATCGATACGAGCCGAAGTCCGATGGGCCGACGGTCCTAATTTTCAGCTGCATGTACTTGGTGTAGCCGCTGTTTCTGGACAAGGTTTCGAACTTATCGCCCGTCCGGGAGGTATCTGTTGGGGGAAAGAGATAAACAAAATGGAAAAAAATTAGACTTTTTGTGGTGATTTTGGAGCGAACATAACACACGCTCTCCCCGCACAGAGTAAAAGCCTTTGCTAAATAATTACACCGAACAATGCAGAATGAGATACGGTGCGCGGGTCCAGGGGAGGGTTTTTCCGGTCCAATAAATCTAGGGCAAAACAAGCCAATTACGGCTGCGGTGCGATGTAGAAGATTGATTTACTGTAAATTACCTGTCCGCTTCCTGGGAGACACGCTTGGCTGAAATCGGAGAGGAGGGCTCGAAACAAGGCCGTCAATTACTGTCCCTGTTGGACGATGAGAGTAATTCCTCAACCGGGAGAGACAGCCAGGCTATTAATTGCACGACATGATTGCTTTGGATTGATGCCAAAAACCTGCTGCCGATGCTCGATGAGGGCAGCGATACAATTGTAGAGAGCTTGAATGGTAGTGTTACAATTTTAGATTGTTGTACAGCATTAACAGTGGTGCGGAATCAAAGGAAGTAGAACATGCTCACTGTTCATTGGCGCCGGTGGTGTAGTGGTAAACGTGATTGCCTCTCATCCCAGCAGGCCTGGGTTTAATCCCAGTTGGCGCCGCCGGGATGTTCTGAGGCATAACATCTCTGATCACGCCTTCCTGAGTTTGATGGATCGATAGGTAGGGTTCAGGTGTGGGAGCTGCTGCCTCCCTGGCGTCGGTAACATTGGTGCGCTCAGCATGGAAAATAAGATCGACGGAAAACATACCAAAGGGGAAAAAAAAACTTCTAGTAAGACACCTAATTGCTAAATATCGGGAAGGGTGAGAAAAGGGTTTTGACCACCTTTTTTTAGAATGGTCTCTTGTGCACTAGTGTGCATATGTATTTCCTACTTAAGCTATAGCTTCAGATCCTGGCCTGCTGGAATGTTTCTGTTTGGAGAAAAGTTATTCAAGTGACCAAGACTTTACGGTAGATTTGCAGATTAGTTGATAATAATTTCACTACGTGGCGCTAGTGTACAAGTGAATATTAGTATCTATCTATTAATTATAATAAAAGGCCAGCGTTTAAGTGAAACGCACCTAGCCAACCAGACACAGGACCGGAAGCAACAGGTCACAAACCTCGACAGAGGCATTATTTTTTTATTCTTTTTATATTCATTGCGTATATTTTTTATTAAAGGGGACGCTAATAGATCTGATAGATAATCATGATCTTTGTCGACACTACTTATTTTTCTGAACCACAACAAATATAAAATGACAATTTGAAACCAATATTTGTGCCAACAAATAGCCGTAAAAAAAGTTATGCAACTTATTTCGGTCTAACCGTATTTAAGTAAAATTTAAGCCGAATAACATATTTTGGTTTATGTTCTTTAAATACAGCAGTTAAAAAACGATTAAGAAAGAGGAGATTTAACTCCCAACAGACTCAGTCAATCCATCACAAAAATATCCCGATAAAACAATCAACAGCCAAGAAATTTTTCACATCACCCAGAAAAATTAAATCTCTTTCAACTCTTTTGAAAATACATCAAAATCCAAGTCTCTCACTTCAAACGGCCTGGGTTCAATACCAGTTGACACCGTCGGGATTTTCTGAGGCGATTCTGATCGCGAAGTAAAGCCGGTAAGTCGGTAGGAAGGGTTCAGGTGCAAAAGCTTCCTCCCTGGCGTCGGTATCATAGGTCATCAATTCGGAAAACAAGATCGACGGAGAACAAATCATAAAAAAAGATTTTCACTAAAATTCTTATGATTTTCCTGAAGCTCATGAAAACGCCCCAAAATTATGAAATCCAATTCTTCATCATTTTTAAAACTCCCCAATTGCGACGTTCCTGTTATTTAATGCGCTTTCCTTATACTATTAAGGCTACTATGAAGATCACAGAACTTCCCTAAAATTCTCTTGACTTCCCAGAATTTATCCAAATATTTTAAAAGTTGATTCCATGCTTAGTTGCCTCCGCTTTATAAATGTTTTATAATCACTTTCTATCAATATAGTAGCTTTTTAAATAGTTTTTCAATGACCGAAAGCCACGATCTTGAATTCTAAAATGCAGTCAATTTTCAATTTCCGGCCTCTACACGTCGTTTACTTTCCGAGAATACTCATAGTGTGGAGTATTTGACAGTTAAAAAAAACCCGAAGTCAACATCTTTTATTTTGAAATGGCCTCTACACTTCATTTCCATTCCAAAAATACCCTTTTTAAGGTCTTGGATTCCAAAATGGTGCCAATCATGCCATATCATAAGGTTTTTGACAGTTTGTCAGAAACCGGAAGCCGCCAGCTTGGATTCTTACATGAAACAATAAAGCCATATGCGTCTTTCCACATATACTGTCCGTATTAATCGCCCTTTTGGAAGAATAGCTGTACATTGAATTTTCGCAAACTTCAATTCTTGTCTGAGAATCTAAAAAATATATCTGAGTACCGTAAAACGGGGTAGCTTTGATAGTTTTTTAAAGTATATTCTAAGTATTTTTTACAAAAATGAATGTTTTTCAAATTTTTATTTTTTAAAACAAGTACCGGGGATCCTAGAGTCAATTCGTTGGCAACATTTTTACCAGGATTTATTGCATTTGCACTATTTTTATTGTCTTATGACTGAACATCAAATTTTTGTTTCGGGGTTACTTTGATAACACTCGATGAAATTAGAAAACCATGCGAGAATTGCAAACAATTTTGATCAAGAAATAAGAAACTTTGAATGAGTATATAACTAGAAACATCATAAGCAATAAAAAAAATATTGAATTTGTCATGGCTATATAGGAAATACATTTAAACGGGGGAGGTAGCTCATCGATTCTTCCGGTTCGCCTCCTAGCATCGTGCTATAAGGTACCAGGCGATAACCAGGGTAGTTGATCGATAGCTCGATGACGTCATTTCGTTGGCGTGTGCAATGGGAAATTCTCATAGCAGGCGTTGACGATGGGACGCTGTCGAGTTGTTGAATAGCAACTATCGTGGTAACTCACCGATTACCTGTCGATCTGCCAAATTTGGAAAGACGTCTGCATTGAATTGTCTCATATAATAATATTCCGCCCACTATATCACAAGAAATTGCGAGTAGCTGAGTGGAATGGAGATAAGTTAAGCATTGGGTACAGGACCAAGTCTCCCCTGAGTGGTGCCAGAAGATGAGCGCAATAGAATCATCAAGTTACCATAAGGCACGGAATGAGACTATTGCATGACTGGGTAGTCAAAGTCTTCCATTCGTTAGTCATTTCAGGTGGATTAAAACAGGTTTAGGGTGGGCGTTGGCCAGATTTGGATTTTTCAGATATAATCCTAAATAGGACCTAGATTATTTAATACACTAGTAACCTCAACTTCTGTCACAATGTTTCATTGTGACTAATCAACACTCAATGGATAAAATATTAAATTTGCGGTAAATTTGAAAAAAACGAACTTGGAGTGTAGAGCGCACTGCCCACTGGACGATTCTGAAGCCTGACCAATTGAGTGGGTTACGGGTTTATTTGATTGTACGTCATTTCCAAGTTATATATAGATACATTCATACCATTGGCATTTTGTATTTGAGATAAGACAGAGACAGGATGCGAAGGGCCCGCTTAGGGAGAGCGTAACCCATGTTATGGCTTCCATTTATTAAATAGTTCAGATAGGCTGGAAATTATAGGTTCATGGTGAGAAAATGTACCATATGGTGCCCGTTCACTGATCAAAATAAGATTCAAATCGTCAGGCCCTGCCCTGGAATAAGGGGATTGACGATGATTTGTCAAGTTTCATTTTGCATTTGCATATAATTGTAAGTTTAGGTTTGCTTTTGTAATTGTAAGATAGATAGTTTGCCTCAATTTGCCTGTAACTAATGTTGGAGGGGTCGGCAGGGCTGATTACGGATCAAAACTAACATAACGCTAACACTGAAATGATCCCGAAACTAACGCTCATTCATTGCACTTTGAGTCATAAAGTAGTTTTATTTATTTTTCTACTAATCTATCTACACACTTAGTTTTTTCTACCGAGCTCGGCTGTGTGGGTCTCGGCGGGGAGGGGGTTTCGCTGAGATCTCGGCGGGAGTGACATTTGATTGCTGAGTCTCGGATAATGCCTTTTCTAATAATCTGCCTACGTTTCTTTTCTTTGTTATCTACTTTATCCCCTTTTTATTTTTCTGCTCTTATTTCCTCTTCTCTTCTTTTGTTTTGTTTGTTCACATATAACTAATACTAGTACCTCCTTGTTTTCTCTCTGATTTGTCTACTATGTCCCACCATCACTATGAGAGATGAGCTACCGTACTTGGTACACGCTCCTATACACTCCCAAAATAGTATGCCGTAAGTAAGTATATCACAGAGGCAACTAAAGATCTAGAAACAAAAACCGATAACGCTGAAGATAATGAGCTGTGGTGATTTATATGACTATATAGTATTATTTATTTATACTAACCTAAACACAACGTGGGGTGACCCAAATCCAAACGATCACTAACCAAAATAATAGACTTATCTTTTTTCAGCAGGTGTAATTTCGTTTAGTTCTGTTTCTCTCTTTTCAGCAAAACAACAACAAAAAAACCTCTATAACTCTTCTCCATTCTTTAAATGTCCTACTATCCCCTATAAATGTATTGGAAACTTTTGGGACTGTCTGTGTAAACAGAAACAGGCCTGCTAGTGGAAGAAGGTCGTTATGCTATACGGGCTAGCATAGGCCTACGGCCAGGTTTCAGTAGGTACACACTCGCTTAACGGCAGATTGGTTTACAGTAGTCGACCAGGGTGTGTGCTGATAAATAACAGAATTACAATTACATCATTATTTCATACATCAGCTTGAATTACGTTGATCGATATTACATTTTTTTGCTGTGCACTACACCAGCCAGCAAAGTTCAACAATCCATCGTTGCTTATGCCTTTGTTGTCGTTTGGAACCAGTTTTGCGAGGTAGGCGACGATTGTGCG